TCAAAATATTTCAATATACGAATAAAAATATATTATATAAATGTATATTTATATTTAGATGTATAAATAAAAAAATATTCATATATTAATGTATGAATCATTTATATTTTTGAATATTTTATTTTTAATAAGAAATTAAAATTATTAATTATATTAGAAATACTCAACTTAAGATTATATATAATCATGAATTATAAATATGAAAATATAATTATTAAATTTAGTTTAAAAATATATAATCTTAAATTTATTCTTTTAAAATATTGTATCAACTAATATTTAAAAAATATATTAAATCTATCAAACAATTTATCAAATATAATATTTTTTATTGAAAAAAATATAATATTTTCCCATCATTTATTGCTTTCAAATTTTTTGCCGAAGTTCAAATCTCATTATTTCCATTTTCCATTATATTCTTTTTTTTTCTGGCATTGGTCATACTATTAGTATATGTATTATTGTATATCTCTTAACACAAACGATGATGTTAGCTTAGTGGCTCCACCCTGTATCTTTCATTTGCGTGACTCAGGTTTGAGTTTGCCCAAGACCCAAATTTTACTTCTTTGTAACTTAATTTTCTTCTAATTAGGTGGTGACATGTGTCACCAATAACATATATCATGATCATGTGTTAACACATGTCAGATCCTGGTTAAATGATTAATTTATTAAATTTTATTTAATTTAGGACCAAATTGATAGCATATATAAATAATTAGGTGGTGACATGTGTCACCAATGACACGTGTCATGATCATGTGCTAACACATGTCAGATCCTAATTAAATGATTAATTTATTAAATTCTATTTAATTTAGGACCAAATTGATTATATAAATAATAAAGACTGAATGTATAATAATGTCAATTCCTTTTAACTGCCACTTCATCATTTGTATCAATTGGTAACGACTAGTGGCTTAGTTGAAACAGTTAAATAATTATGTTGTATGATTGATAAATTTAAAAGATATATGACAAAAGTAAAAAGGGCTAGATAGTTAAGTTGTCAACCTAGTAGTTTACACTTTTATTTATACGTCAAAATAACATTTTATAAATTTAAAATTCGAATTATTTTCAACATCTTCTATATCCTAACTACTTTTTTAATTAAAAAATTTCTTCAACAGATAAGAATTATACTATTATATTTATATAAAAAATACGTATCACATGAAATAAGATGAAATTAAATAATAATAAATCTGACATAATTGAATTTAATTGAATTATTTTGGAATTTAGGGTTTAGAATGAAATTGAATTACTTTGGAAATTGGGGTTTAGAATGAAATTGAGGACTATTTTGCAAGTTTTAAAAGTTAGGGGACCTAAATTCAAGTGTCTGAAAAGTTCAATAACCTTGTATATAATTTACCCTAATTTCTAACGGTGGTTTAAGTTGGGGGACCATATTGCAAACGGAATAAATGTTGGGGAACTGTATTGCAAGTTTTAAAAGTTGGGGGACCTAAATGCAAGCTTCAGAAATGTTCAGTGACCATTACTATACTTTACCCTAAAAAAACTACCCTTCACTTCACCAAAAGTGAGGGGGAAGTATTAATAAGAGAAAAAAAGGGCCCCCTATATATATATATATATAATATGATGTTTAATAAAATAAGTAAATAATAATAATAAAATAATAATAGATATATATAAAATACTAGGTAAAAAAAGTAAAATATATACACATATAAACGTATAAATAAAAAATTAGAGAAAATAAATAAAATAAATAAAATAAGTAAAATAACAAAGAAAGAATAAATAATACACATAAATAATGAAACCCAAGCAAATAAATAAATAAAAAAGGAAGGAACAAATATATGTACATACAGTAAAAAAATAGAAAAATAAATTATATAAAAATATGTATATATATGCATAAGTAAAAACTAACAAAAATAATAGTAATAAATAAAAAACCAAAGATATATATATAATATAATTTAATATAAATAATAATAAGGGATTAACTTAAAATAAAAACAAAATCGGGGGAGAGATTAAAAGAAAAAATTGGTGTAAACACTGAATTTTGGGAAAATAAATATTTAAAAAACATGGGGATCAAAATTGTGATTCCCCCTCTTTTTGTTTAAAAAACACGCGGGTCGAAGGGGGCGGGTCAGGTCACGGGTCATCCGGGTTGGGTATAAAACCCATTTTTCACAAATACATTCATTATTTTCCATTTTACCCAAGATGAGTCAAAACAAAATTTTTTAAATCCTCTGATGTGTTCTTGGGGTGTTCTTCATTGAAGAACACCACCATAGCTTTCCAGAAATCGGCCGGCCACTGCCTTGTCGGCCATCAGCCGCCGTTCATCGGCGGTGGTCAATTTTTTTTTTTTTTTTGCATTTTTCAAAAGCTCTTTCTTCCATCTCTTCAAATATCAAAGTGATTTTTTAAAAAACGCCTCGGGGGAGTAGATCTAGAAAAGAAGATTCGAACACCCCCTCCGATCATCTACGATTGGGTTTTAAAACAAGACAAACTAACATGCAATCCAAGATCCACCGAATCCAAGGTAAAAAATTATACCTTTTTATTTCCTTGCTCTCGAATAGGTTACAAAATACTTCAATCAACTGTTTGTATAATTTTCTTTTCGGTATTTCGCGTTGTGTTTGTGTGTAAAAAACATTGGTGATTACATCTTATTTATAGCCTAGGATTTGCTATTTTAAGTATTTGATTCCTAGTAAAACTCTAAATCTGATGTTTGTTCTCTTGTTGGTGGTGACGTTGCCGTGAAACTCGGACGTGGCTTTGACCGATCGGTTGAGGGGCATGCGGCGCGTAGATGGATGAGAGATGAGGTTAGGGTTTAAAAAAAACTAACCGATTTGGGTACTCCATTGGACCGGTTTGGGTCTCCATTCGGGTGTGATGGGTTGCTCCACTGGATACAGGTTTGGTGTGTAATGAGTTGTGAGCTGCTTACTTTTGTAAATTAGACTTCTGGGTCTTGGTTTTTTTGTAATGGACCTGAAATAAATAAAATAAATGTAAGTATATATATCATATAATATCGTTTGCAATAATAATATTAATTAAACTGGGAATAGGCGAAATTCGGTGTCTTCACTAACTATTTTGATTAAAATAATGACGAAATTTTCTTAGAAAAACATTTGTATAATTTAGGGTAATTATTTATTTAATCGTCCTATTTTAGTTATTTAATTATTATTTTTTAAAAGTTTCATACATAACATTTTGTTTTGATTATATTTTGATCATACCGAAACGTTTTATTATGTGTTAAAAGAAATATATTTTAAAAATTCTCTTTAGTATTTTAATCAAAAGAATTACTCATGTTAGGAGATTATTTATTGTTGTTCAGGTCGTATGTCTTTAATCCTAAGCGACTCACGGTGTACTGTTTTTTTTGTTGACAATGTTATTGATTGTGTGTGTACTCTTTTTCTCCATATAAGATTAGAGAAGTTATTAACGAGACACGTAAATAGACTTAAGTGTATGATTTAAATATTTCTAATAAAAATATTGATTAGAAAAAAATATAAAAGTAGAAGAACCAAATCATTATTTTAGAATAATACATGGACTAGATCATAATTTGACTATTTAATTGTAATTCAGATATAAAAAAATTATTTGCGAAGCTAATGAGATTTTAGTCATGTTAGTAAAGATCAAGACTTTTAACCATGAATTTCTAAATTTAAAATTCAGAATTATTTTGATTTGAGTCGAAATATACTTTTTTTTAATGATAAAGGAAAACCAAGCTAACAAAGCAGTAAAACCTATTTCTAACAGCCAATTAACCATGACTATCACAGAGCCTTTCATCATGTAGCAGAAACATCCCTGAAGCAGCGAAGTTGTTTGTCCGTGCCCTCTCATCCCAAGCATCTCGTTTCATCGTCCACGAGAGCAGCCACTCCCACAGGAGGTATCTGAAATCGATGAGCACCAAATTCCAGTCCCCAAGCCAACTTTGCCACCTCATTTCTTTCTCTTGGAGTTCAACTAAATTGCACAGTCCAATCCTGCTCCAGCATCTCCACTATGTGTGGAACCATTGGAAGTAATCGATCCATAGTTATGCCTTGTTCAACCACGCGTAAGACTTCCTTGGAATCCGTTTCAACATGGATCCATTGGATACCCATCTCCCAAGCCATCCGTAGTTGCTTTCAGGAAAAGAAACAGACAAATATACCATTTTTATGAATTCTCATTTGACCTATCTTCAAGAAAAAAGAAAAGAAAAGAAAAGATAATAAAATCACATAATCAAACTATTTCAATTTCCAGAAAGCAAAAGAATTCATGGAAGATGCTTTTTCAATTCCACAAGAATAAACCTTCATGCAATATATATTCCAAGCAATTGCTTTGAGGAAAACGTTGCTATCAAGCACCCAAAAGAAGAGGAGGAGGAAGAAAAGAGAGAGATACGTGCCGCAAAGCATTTCTTGTTTGTTGGGCTACTCAATATCATTGGAATGCACTCTGGGAACCATTCTTTTTATTATACTTTAACGTCAAGGTTTCTGTTAAAACTTATAAACCTATCAATGGGGGAAAACTGGTTTTTGAGAAACTTGTTGACACCAAATACAAAGCCTATCCTTTTGGTTTTGGCAAAGGATTGTTTGATTTGGGATTAAGAGAATGGTTGCACGTAAACCTTGGAGTTTGGATATAAAACTTGTTTTACATTGTCTTTTAGGAATGGATTTATTAATTGAGTGATTAAAATAAGACCAAATAAAACATTAAGTGAGTAAATTAAAAAAAATTTAAACTTCAATGACCAAAATAGGAGTGAAACAAAAGTTAAGTGATGAAATTTGTAATTTACCCTTCTAACTATTCAGTATCTCGATTATAGTAGGCCGCCGGTGGGTAGAAAACCACCAGCACCGGAAGCTCACGGCCAGCATCTTGCAGTTGTAACGATCTCATGACCAGTATAAGAAAAATGTACAGTATTATATTAGCCAAGAATGTAATTTTAATGAACAATAACAATTGTAAAACCAAACGTTGCTGCCATTTTCTTCAGTCAGGAGAGCTCCATATAAATGAACAATAACAATCCTGCTGCCTGCAATGCCGGGGAAATATTTTTCCGAAACTTAAAATCTCCGAGATGCCAATGTGGCCTTCTTGTTTTTCGGTACATACGCAAACTGGTTAAGATCTACAGCAGCAGATGACCTTCAATGGATAAGACCAAGTATTAACGGATGAAAGCTTGGAAATATAAACTTTAAATAAAATTTCTGCAAGGATAAAGATTTAACTCTGTTTACCTATTGATACATGTGTTCTGAGCATATTTCAAAGGGGCTCGAAGACCACTGGCACGAGAACCGGGTGATGAGAATCTAAATGATGATATTACTGAAACAAATCTTTCCATGGATTTCTCTGCTACGTTTGAGTAACGGCCTAAATGTGAAATGTTGGATCCAAATTTTGCATCTCCAGCTTTCGTCTCCACAAACGTTTCGATATTAGGATCATGATCACCTGCAAATGAAATAATTAAAAGGTAAAGACTCCTAAATCGTGGTGCCAAAGTTGGACCATGACAGCCATATAAGTTTAGCACTAAGCAAGATTAGTTTATCAATCCATAATGAACATCAGATTTGTTCATTATGAGTCATTTTTATTAACAGGTACCAGTATCATCATGGGATGCATCCATGTAGATTTGCTGGGGATTCACATTTTCCTGAAATAAAAAGGGCAAAATAATTTAATCAGGAAACACAAGAAAAAGCAATAGTGTGGATTCTAAAACCTTAAAAAGAAAGTGAAGGCACTGACCAGTTCATCATATTCAAGCGAGGATTTTTTTCTTTTCAAAGCCGTTCCTTTAAAATAGTTATTCCCATAACTATCAGGAATGCTAGTCTCGGGGAACTGAATGGTATTATCCTTGCCACAAAAGTTTACTCGTTTATCTTCTTGGTCATTTGTGTCAACTTGCTTCTTGTGAAAGTACCGACTTCTTACAATGCTCTTTTTGTTATCCGTTATTGTTTTACTTTTAGACGCATGTGCAAGAGTACTATAATTATACTCATGTGAAGCTGGAGAAGGTCTATGTGTTGGCTGATCAGATTCTTGCGGCAACACAAGGTCTTGGCTTCTAATCTCATCCGGCCTGGCTTCTATATCCATGAACACACAAAGTAAGCATTTAAATGGTAAAATTATAGACCAATCTATCAGACATGTATTTTTACCAGGATTTGGAGATGCTGCATACTCAGAAAGCTCAGAAATGAAGACATTTTCTTCCTGCAGAAGTTGAGGCAGAAAGTGTAAAAAAAATTACAACTATTTAAATGAACTAAATGTAACTCTTACTCGCATCACTCACAATGTTGTAAGTATTCTTTGAGTCGAGTGAGGTTGACAACAGGGTATTGCAAGAAGCATCCTCTGCAGTAACGTGTTTGTCAGGACAGATAGAAGCATTAGCTACCATACTTGACTGCTTAGGCGATACCCGAGGGGCCTTGAAGTTTCTTTTTGCTTCAAGAGATGCAAAGCCTTTAATTGTTATGGAACAACAATTTACAAATAAACAACTAAACGGCTTCATGATAACTGAATAATGTAATGCAATTTCCCCCCTAAATATGTCATAAATCAAAAGCTAGGAGAAAGTAACATCAAGGGATACAGAAATAGTTGGTCAGAAGGTTCTTCTGCACAGGCAAATCTAGCCTTTTCTTTCACTCTCAGGCTTAAAACTTTTCAGCTGTAAATTTCTGTCGGGCACCAGCTGAGAACTATCACCGACACCCTGTTGAAGGATCAAGTAGTCAGGAACAATCGTCAATTAGTAGAAATGATGAAAGGAAAATATAGAATTCAAATACTAAATAGAACAATTACCGGAAATGGCATTTGCGTAAATGGATCAAGTTCACCTCTTGCAATGCCTTGAGCTATTTGTTGAGGTATCGGCGTATTCCAAATTAAGGTTTATCAAGTGTTTATCAATAGAGACTAATAAAAAAAGTTTTAACTAACCAGATGATTTATTAAGGATATGGGCCTAAAAAGTCCAACTCCAAATCATCACCAATGTCGTCGGATGTGTCAGATAAATGTGCAATATCTTCAGTGATTGGATCATAGACTCGTTGGCACTGAAATGTTAATATCGCTTTCTTGAATGATTCTTCATAAAAAGGAGGAACTGAAACAGTGCTGTATCTCAAGTGCTTAATCACCTACCAGAATTTTTTTTAAAGAAAAAAAAGGAAACAGATGAAAAGATCATCACTAGGTGGATAAGAGACAGTATGCAAAAAAGTGACAGAGACATAAAGAAATAGTATAATCAAAGAGAAGAATCTCTTGCGTTAAAGATATTCAATGTATCGGGAACATTTGATAGTGCTCACCTTGTCATAACTTTTGAACTTTTTAATCAGAGCATGGGCCCTTCTCAGACCCATTCCTGGCAGTGACTGCAAATAGTCACAACCGCTAAGAATACACATCTCGAGCAGCATCTGTTTAGTGAATCCGGCAAAGCTTAGCTCCTTGTTTTGCCGTAGCATCGAAGACTTGAACTCAACACCTTGCCCAAACTTATCCATTTTAAAGATAACCTGCATTAGATAAAGTATCATAGAACTTTAAAATCTGAAAGATGGATAAAAAAGAATTTCTCGTAAACATTGAAGAAACTGCAGTATGTTGTTGAAAGTAGTTAATAGCTACACAACTCACTCTAGGACAGCCAAAGGGTATAAGATCAGAGTCCTCGGTGATTACTGCATCGACCTGTTTGCTGATAGCCAAGAAAGTCATTTGTGCATCTGCCTCATAAGGTGCCACAACATAACATATATTCTCCCGCTTTAAGACCTTCCACAGTCGACCATGTCAAGAAAGAAACAGCAGTATAACATAAATGGACCATTTAGCATTGATTCCTTCTAGAAAATGTAACAAGATCTCCTTCAGAATTTGTTACTTACCATGATTAGTTTGTGTGCAATTGAGGGTGAAATGTCAACAGCTTTTTGGTAGCACTCATAAGCAGCAGTAGAATTTCCACATAATTCATGTTCAATTGCTCGTGCAAGATTTTCCTTCCTTGCCCTGCGTTTATGAGGCATGGAACATTTCTTTAGACCATGCTAGGAGATCATGAATTCAAATCATCCGACATTCAATAATGGAGTCAATCAGACTATATATATATCATATCCCCTGGCATCTATACAGTAGAGAGGAGAATCACAATATAGAGCTCCCAAAAAAGGCAGGTTGAGTTTGTACATTCTTAATTAGTCATTTTATTTAGCAGTTTATTTGCATAAATAGAAAGCATTCATGTGACATTGCAGAGCATCTCAGAGAAGATAACTTCCTCATACAAAGAAAGCACTTGATTTTACTTGCAGATGTATCAACAGGACCTATCTAAACTTCTTATTTCAGGTTGATCATACAAACCAGGTCAATGTGTTGACTGGGTGAAAGCACAGACAATTGGTAAGAAGAACTTAAGTGACAATACCTATGCGAAAACTGGTTTTAACTTTATAATACATCCATGGATCAATCTGGACCCAAATTTTCAATGGGAAAGCAAGAATGATTGGTAATAACAACTTATAAACAGGTCGGAGAACTGAAGCAGAGCTAGATTCATAATCGAGCACACCAAATATGCATTAAATACATAACACCTGAAGTGAATAGGCAGTTGACATAAAAAGAACAGTGACAAATAATTAGGACTACCACATCTTAAGTAGCACATCCGTTTGGTAGTTGGATATGAAGGCAAGACCAATGCATTCATATTTTCGTGGAAACCAGAATCATGTTTAGCAATTCAGGAGAAAAGACATCTAACATACCTTGCTCGCTTGTTCTCTTGTTCAATCTTCATTGGAAGAAGACCTCCATCAAAAACAAGAACCGGTTTAACACCATGATGTCGTAGCAAATTTACCCTATGCATACAATACTCAATGTGCCTAGTGGATCGAATAAACAATGCACCCATGTTAGAAAGGAAAAAACCAAAGGAATAAACCTTTCCTTCATCCACACCATCTTTCGTCGTTAAACAAAGTGAACTAAACTCATAAAGCTTTGATTTGAGATGAAATGGAAACTTAATACATTTTATGCCTAAATTTTGCGTTTTTTTACAACTAAAACTACATTGCAGAAAATCCATTTCTATTTTACCTTAAATTTTCCTGAATAAAGAATGAAAATAGAAATAAAAAACCATTGATGTAAATAAAGAAAACAAAAGAGGCATGCTTTCGAATATTTTAAAATAACCCATTAATACTTTTCATCCAAAGAAAAAGAATGCAACTTTTTTTCAGGCTAGTAACATCATCCAAAGAATACGCATTAACCCTTTTTGTCCAATAACTCCGACGAAAACCCAACGATTATGTTTTTTTATTAAAAAAAACTAAAGATAGAAAGAGAGAAGGAAACCTGGAGGTGGGTAATCCTTTACAGAGTTCAGTACTGCAAGACAAGGCTCCTTTGTGGAGCCAAGAATAGGTGTCGATAGCCACGCAACAGCCCTCGAGCTCCTTGATATGGATTGGTACCATAATCGATTTCAATAGAGGCAAAAGCCCTTGTATTCCCATCCCTGTAGCTGATTCGGTGATGGCTTGAATCTGTAACAATGGAGAGTAAACGACCAGCGCCTTAATCTTTCACTGTTAAAAGCATATTTGCAGAGAAATAGAGGGAAAGATTTGAGGTTCAAGGAAGAAGAAAAATGTTAATAATGGCCCAAATTTTGGGCGGGAAAATGTTTGGGATTATTTCACGGCCCAAACTTAATTTTGAAGGGGTCAAAGTATAATTTCATAATGGCACTAAATTAAAATTTCATACTTTAAGATACTATTGAAAAAATAATAAATTAGATCTTATAAATTTAAATATTAATTAAATTAATTATTATTATTATTATTATTATTTACAAATGAGAAACAAATGCTAATTTACACGTCCAACAGGCGTATCATTTCTAAGTAGATTCTTTATGTCATCAGAAGGCTGGTGTAAGATTGTGAGCCCTTCCAATGTGGCCTAAATGAGCCATGGCATCTACGGCCCCATTCGTGCCTCTGTAGATATGTGAGAACCTGACATATCACTGTCGTTAGAGGAGATGTCGAATTCTCCGTACAATTGCTGGTTCGTTACTCTGCCCGGTGGATGTAAGAATGTGCATTACCTCACTGCCATCGACCTCCACTTCGACCTGTTTTTCCCCCCGGTACCACGCTATGGTAAACACATCCAAAACCGTCCATAGCTCAGCATGTAAAATCAAGCAACGACCAATTTTACGATGATAGCCCCCCAGCCAACCTCCTTTACTGTCTCTGATGACTCCACTGCTAGCAGCTGCTGCGGATTGCCGAGTCACAACCCCATCGGTGTTTATTTTGATATCTCCCCGATTGGAGGGCTTCCACTTTACCTGCAAGGCTCGAGCATGGTGGTTGTTTCCACTGGACAAGTTAGAGCTATGGGGCAGGTGAGCCCAGGCCGTAGCCGAGTTGATAACTTCCAATGGAGACCATGAATCTTCAGCAAAAACGAAGCTATTACGCTGCTTCCAAAGGCTCCAGCATATGATGTGAAACACGTGCCTCCAGTAGCATTCATTTTTATCGAGCCCCGAGTTTCTGCTTTGATTTCCTTCTAGCCATTCAGTTAGAGAAGCAGAGTGAAACCGCGTGGAGACATTATCAGGGACAAGTTGATTCCAAACCATTCGCTCCAAGAAACAGTCACGAAGAACATGTAGGACGTTTTCATCTCCGTAGCCACCGCACCTTGGACAATGACCAACAGAAATCACACCCCTTCTAGCTCTCTCGGAGTTGGTCATGAGTCGATTACGGGTGCCATCCAAAGGAAGTGTTTAATCCGTTCAGGCCCATCGAAGTCCCAAGCTATGTTCCAAGTGTTATTAGCAGTGTCCTAGGTGTCTTCTTGTAACCGGTTTAAAGCCGATTTAACCGTGCAATTTTCACTGGGGTCCCATCGCCAAGTCGGGATGTTGACACCAACTTCATCAGTAGGAGGAGGGATAACCATGATTTGCTCAATAACCTCATTATCCAAGATGAGACCAAGCTTTTGAAACTCCCATTGACCGTTTGCAGTAACATAGTATATCACATGAGCATCATGATCCTGGATTCGGTTTGTGGAAATCAAGTCAGCAAGCGGTTGAGTATTTGGTATCCAGATGTCATTCCAAAATTTTGTTGACCTGCCATTGCCTATTGACCAACATAAATTCCCACGGATGAAGTGACAGGTACGAGCAAGGGATTTCCAGACATAAGACCCAGATCGGACTGCTAAATGATCGGGAACCAGTTCCCTCACCTTGTATTTAGAGCGCAGAAGTTTCACCCACAAAGCCTCCTGTTTCATAAGAAAATTATATCCCAATTTAACCATAAAGGCCTCGTTTTATGATTTGAGTGGTCGAGCTCCCAATCCGCCGTTTATGTGAGGTTGGCATATAGTTTTCCAGCTAATGATAGCCATCTTGGGGGATTCCGTAGTCCCTCCCCAAATAAAATTGCGAGCAACCTGTTCAATCTTAGCACAAACTCCTTTAGGGATCAAAACTGTTTGCATAAAGTAGCTAGGGATAGTCAAGAGTGTTGATTTCGCAAGTGTCACCGGACCTGAGAAAGATAACTTTGAAGCCACCCATCTACTTAGTTTAGTGCGAACCTTTTCGATTAAGAATTCAGAAAGTACATTTTGTGACTCTCTTGTGGAAGAGTGGCATACCCAAGTATTTGCCTAAATCTGTAGTTCGTTGGAATCCCAATTGAGAGCAGATATTATTTGCCAGTTCCTTGTGCACATTGGTGGAGAAAAAAACTTCTGTTTTGTTGAAGCTAACTTTGTGTCCCGAGAAATAACTGAACTGGTCCAGAATAGCGCTTACAAGATTAGCCTGCGAGGATGTAGCTTCGCAAAACAACACCAAATCATCGGCAAAGAAAAGATGGGACAGGGCCGGTTCTCCACGCGTTAGCACCATTGGTTTTCAATGTCCCATACACCGCGTAGTCAATGCTTTGTCTTAGGGTATTACCCAAATAGTTCTCTTACCTATAGTAATTGTTTTATTGAATCTTCCTATTATTAAATCTTTTTATTATTAAAAATTATAAAATAATTATTTGATTATAAAATATTATTTTATTTAATCCTTAATTATTAAAATGGTCATTTGATTATAGATGTTATTTGTTTAGTCCAATGACTATTAAAAATTACAAAATGATCATCAGACTATTCATATATTCCAGACTCGTCATGTTTCATTAAAAAAATTGAATATCACCTGAGCTGGATACCAACTTACTGACTGAGATATGATAAAATTATATTTTAATGATATTTAATGGCACCATCGTTGTTTTCAAGCAACGACCCGATGACAATGTAATCGAATATTCAATCAACAAAAATATAACTCAAACAATTCTATGATCAAATTTTATCATATCTCATTCAACATGTTAATGTATAGCTCAAATTCTTGTTAATTTTTTAATAAAAATGACGAATTTAAAACATATGAATAATTATATAATAAATCGATAACTTTCAATAATAAGAATACTCAATAAAATTAAATATCATTTCATAACTTTTAATAATCGTTATATTCAATAAAACGATATCTTATAATTACGAACCATTTGTATACTCTTAACTTGATTTTAATTATGTCCGACTCGTCAAATTTTGGGCTTTGTATAACAAAGTTCTTCCTGTGACGCAACTTGAACCAGCGATTTGACTCAGGTCACCATTCTTATCTCTACAATCAGCTCCAAAGCGCATATCCATTCAAATAAGATACCTGAGCAAAAAGACACCCAAAACATACAACTGCATACGTATAAAACACGTGGCTTACATAAATAGATAACGACATTTCAAAAACGTGTCAGGACAGCCTGCTAAAGAGTAGATTACACATTTAATACCTAAACTATCAGTTTTGATTCGTTTTTTTATAAAAACATACCTAAAATTTAATTTTTATTTCATTTTAATATCATACCATTAAAAAACTTAACGTGTTTAGTACCTAAATTGTTAGTTTTGGTCCATTTTAGTCCTTAAACTTTCAATTTTTTCAAAACGTTAGCACTAAATTTTGAATGTGTACTAAAATAAAATAAAATTAAAATTTTCCATGACAGAGTAATAAAATGAACCCAAAACTAAACTTTAGGTATGGTTTTGAAAATATTGAAAGTTTAAGTCTAAAATGGATAAAAAAAAATAATAGTTTAGGTACTAAATGCATAATATACCCAAAAATCAAAGTCTCCCTACAATCCTACACGGCTACAGCAGTAATGTTGATATTCATTCTACACCATATATCTTAAGCAACCCTTCTTTATCGAAGGAAACAGATACTTCTCCTTTCCCGTGGCTTGATTTGCATGCAAAAACATGAGTTCTGCATTAAACCATCACTTAATTCTCACAAACATATACATCGAATCGTCTCGGATCGACCTGTTTTTCATTTAGATTTGAACTCAAAACATTACTAGAAAGATATTATAATTTGTGAATATTTATCAAACACGCAAACGACAAAGAGAAGAGAAAACTCAATTGGACAATGAAAACAAGTGGTTCTAAATTCTATCCAATGGGAAGAAAAAACTCAGAAATCTTATTTCCCCTCATGTGGTTTATCAACTATCTCTGTCATATTATTAATAAGCTCTTTCCTCCTGGGGTTTATTTGCAAGAGGACAACATGTCTTTAACTGTGATATCTTCTGTTTATGCAATCTGCAGTGATGCAGCCGGGGTTGCAGGTAGGGTTTTCCTTTTTCATTTCTGGGTTTATTTTGATGTTTTCACTGATGAAGGTGATTTTTGGTTTAGGGTTGAGGATTTTCTTGTTCATCAAGTCATAGGCTTTTCTGATCTGTTGATATTTTCCAAAATTTTCCAGGAAACATCTTTGCTTTTGTGCTCTTCTTGTCACCTATGTAAGTTCATTTCCAAAAAACAATGTACAAAATATTGAATCTGCAATGTTTATTTGCAGAAATTGAACTTTGTTTGTGTTTTTTTCTTCAGATCAACATTTAGGAGAATTATCAGAAATGGTTCAACAGAACAATTCTCAGGGATGCCATATATATATGCTCTGCTGAACTGCTTGATTTGTCTCTGGTATGGTATTCCCATTGTTTCCCCAGGTATCATCCTGGTGGCAACTGTCAATTCCATTGGGGCAGTTTTCCAAATGGTGTACATCTCCATCTTCATCGCATATGCCGACAAGCCGATGAAGTTAAAGATGTTCGGGTTCCTGGTATCGGTTTTTGCCGTGTTCGCTTCGGTCGTCTTCATCAGCCTCAAGTTCTTTGGCTCCCCGGCACGGCAATTGTTCGTCGGATACTTGAGCGTCGCGTCCCTGATCTCGATGTTCGCCTCTCCTCTGCTCATCATTGTAAGTTCAATAAATGTTTTCGCCTTTTTTCCGATATTCCGACGAAATCGACTCCCTCATCCGTTTTATTTTCCAGAACTTGGTGATCAAGATGAGAAGCGTCGAGTACATGCCGTTCTCGCTCTCCTTGGCGACGTTCTTGATGAGTCTAGCTTTCTTTCTATATGGAATTCTCAAGCAGGACCCTCTCATATATGTAAGTTTTTTTTTTCTTTTTTAAAATTTTCCCTCATTTTTGCGGTGTTTGAATCTTTGTTGTGAAAATTCTCTGCCATTGATGCAGGTTCCTAATGGAATTGGAACAGTTCTGGGGATTGTACAGTTGGCCTTGTATGCTTATTTCCAGAGAGCATCCCAAGAGGAACTAAGGCATCCTTTGATTCATCCTTGATATAATGTTTGTTATTGATGCGCTATAATATGCGACATGATCAAAATTTATTCTTTTTGATTTTGACAAAAAAATATAATCGTGAAAGGGAGAGAATTCTCTTAATAATTATATATATATATATATGTATGTATGTATAGGTTCATAATTTTGAAGGAATTCTTGTTGTAATTTGAATACACATATATAATTTAGATATGTAATATCATTTTCAATCAAAGACTCAACGTCATTGTATTTTCAGAAGAATTTATATGAATAAAACAATTATTTGAGGTCAAATTTTGTTATTAGTATCTATATTATATGTAAATTATAGATTTAGTACTTTGGGTAAACTATATAAATGGTCACTAATTTTTTAGTAAGTTTTTGTTTACCCAATTAAAGTTTCAAAACTAACGAATTGATTACTAACGTTATCGATTTATAATAAATTAGTTACTCATAGTTAACAACCGTTACTAAGAGTAACAAAATGCTGATGTGGTGGTAACACAGTAAACCGACGATCTGGCACCATTTTGTCACACGAGATGATCACATATGCTAGCCGTTTGATTTCTCAAAACTTGAGTTGTTAAAAAGAAAGGTTAAAAATCATTTTATTTTCTGTTCGTCTCTTCCATGAATCGAGGAGTGTTGTAGATGTTGGGAAGTAAACAAGTAACGAGTAATTTTCCTATAACCAGATTAATGAGAATGCGAAATAAAAGCGGAAAAATAATACCTGAAATTGATAACGGAGTTCAGCCAATTTGCTTACGTCTCCGGACTGCTGCAGATCTTTTACTAAGAGAAAATTTACAGGTGTTTACAAAACACACTTGAGAGAGAACTAGAAGATTTTGGGATGATTTTGAAGCTAAATGGGCTAGGGTATTTATAGTTAAAGCTTAAAGACTAATCTTGTAAATACTCTAAAGTGTGTAATGGCTAAAATGTAATTAACCCCTTTATCAAAATCAACAAATGTTGCACCATTTTTTGACAATTTGCACCGAATTCTTCTTCCAGCAAAACCATTTCCCTTTTGTTGAAAAATCAACAGGCAGTGCCCACCCTTTTTTACTTTACAATCTCCCACTTGAAAACTGATTTTAATCTGTCTTCACACCTTGATCAATGCAACAACATTTCTGGTATTGTTATTTTAGCAAGCCAACTGAAGCTGAACACAACTTCAGTTTGTCCGTAGTCACCGTCTTTGTCAACATGTCTGCCGGATTTTGAGCTCCACTAATCTTTTCAAGCTTCAAAATCTCATCTTCCAGAAGAGACCGAATAAAATGATATCGCAATTGTATATGTTTCGTCCTGGACTGAAAAGACGGATTCTTTGCTAGATGGATAGCACTTTGACTGTCGTAATACAAGATATTGTTTTCTTGTTTCTTGCCTAACTCTTTCAAGAAACTTTGGAGCCAAACCATTTCCTTGTTGGCTTCTGTAACAACGACATATTCTGCTTCGGTTGTGGAGATAGCAACTATCTTCTGTAGTTGAGAAACCCAACTCACTGCGGTTCCTCCTAGAGTATAGACATACCCTGTAGTGCTCCTTCTGATGTCAACATTTCCAGCTAAGTCAGCATCTACATAGCCTGTCAGTATCGTATCTCCACCTTTGAAACAAAGTGCTTTGTTTGTGGTACCCTGCAAATATCTAAGGATCCATTTGACTGCTTCCCAGTGTACCTTGCCCGAATTATTCATGTACCTGCTAACAGCTCCCACTGCATGAGCAATATCTGGTCTGGTACAAACCATGAGATACATCAGACTTCCAATTGCTGAGGCATACGACACCTTCACCATGTGTGCACGTTCTTCCTCCGTCTTTGGTGACTGTTCTTTGGAGAGTCTAAAATGAACACCTAAAGGTGTACTTACTGGTTTAGCATCTTGCATGTTGAACCTGGAGAGTACTTTGTTGATGTACTCAGCTTGTGATAACACCAAACTCCCCGACTTTGTGCCTGTCTTAATCCTCATCCCAAGAATCTGCTTCGCAGCGCCCAGATCCTTCATAGCAAAATGTTTCGACAATTTTTGCTTCAAGTTTATAATCTCTTGCATGTCTGAGCCTGCAACGAGCATGTCATCAACATACAATAATAAAATAATGAAGTTGTTATCGAACCTCTTGATGTAGCAACAATGATCTGTTTGACATCTGGTAAAACCACTGCTATTCATGAAGCTATCGAACTTCTTGTACCACTGTCTAGGAGCTTGTTTTAAACTATACAAGCTCTTCTTCAACCTGCATACCATGTTTTTCTTGCCTGTCTCTATGAAGCCTTCTGGCTGCCTCATATAGATTTATTCCTCCAAAATCGCCATGAAGGAAAGCTGTCTTTACATCTAACTGCTCAAGATGTAAATTCTCTACAGCTACAATTTTCAACACCAGTCTGATTGTAGACAGTTTTACGACTGAAGAGAAAATTTCATTGTAGTCAATACCTTCTTTTTTGCTGAAAGCCTTTGACAACCAATCTTGATTTGTAGCGTTTGCTCCCATCGTGCTCTTCTTTGATCTTGTAAATCCACTTGTTGTGGAGCGCTTTCTTGCCTGGTGGTAATTCAGCTAATTCCCACATCTGATTTGACATAAGCGAGTCCATCTCATCTTTCATGGAAGACTCCCACTTGACTGAATCCTCCACTTGTATTGCTTCATCATAGCACTCTGGTTCACCATTGTTGGTCAGCAACAAGTAGTGCAAAGAAAGAGAATACCGTTGGGTTGGTTTAGGAATTCTGGAAGAGCGTCTCAGTTCTGGTGTGCCTGGTTATTCTTGAACTGCTTCAGGATTGATCTGAACATCATTTCTAGAAATCTCCTCGAACTCAGCAAATTCCTTTGTTTCAGCTTTGGTATTTGAGCTGCTTGATTCTACAGTTGACATGTCTTTGTACATCACATTCTCATTAAAAATGAAATCTATGCTTCTTATGATCTTCCGATTTTCATAGTCCCAAAACTGATAACCGAACTCATCACCTCCATAACCAACAAAGGCACATTTGTTGGACTTAGCATCGAGTTTACTTCTTTCAGCAGAGTCTATGTGTACATAAGAAATACAACCAAACACTCTTAAGTGTGAAAGGTTTATTTCTTTCTTGCTCCAAACTTCCTCTGGTATTCTGCCATCCAAAGGAACTGAGGGCCCACAGTTGATCAGGTAAGCTGCAGTGTTGATAGCTTCAGCCCATAGAAATTTGGGTAATCTGGCATGTATCCTCATGCTTCTGGCACGTTTATTCAGAGTTCTGTTCATGCGCTCTGCTACGCCATTCTGCTGCGGTGTCATGGGAACTATTGTCTCCATCTTGATCCCATTGTTTACGCAAAAATCTCTGAATCTACGATTTCTATACTCTCCTCCATTATCAGACCTCAACCGCTTAACTTTCATACCAGTCTCATTTTCCACCATGGCCTTCCATTTTCTGAAGGTATCAAAGACTTCTGATTTCTTCTTTAGAAAATAAACCCACACATTCCTTGTAGAATCATCGATGAAGGTGACATAATATAATGAGCCTGCAAGAGATGGAACTGGAGATGGTCCCCATACATCAGTATGAATCAACTCTAACCTTTCTACCTTGGGTGTCTTGCCAATTTTTGCAAAACTGACTTTCTTTTGTTTGCCAAAGATGCAATCCTCGCATAGTTCGACATCTACATTCTTTAGATCCGGCAGATTCCCTTTTGACAAAAGTGTCTTCATCCCTTTCTCGCTCATATAGCCAAGCCTTTGGTGCCATAGGTTTGATTTTTCATCAGCATCTGCGGCTGCAATGATATTCTCTAAATTTGAGGTTACATAGAGAGTACCAATTTTCTTACCACGAGCAATGACGAGTGCTCCTTTGGTAATCTTTCATTCACAGCCTGAAAAGGTTGTGCTATATCCTTCTCCATCAAGCTGTCCAACAGAAATCAAATTTCTTTTGAGACCAGGAATATGTCTCACACCTTTCAGTGTCCAGGTGGTATGGTTTGGCAACTTTAGTCGGATGTCTCCTCTTCCGACGATATTCAAGGTTTCATCATTAGCTAGATGAACCTTCTCAAAATCACCACTGACATAGTTCTCCATGATTTCTCGGCAAGGGGTGGAGTGGAAAGATGCTCCTGAATCCAAGATCCATGATTCAATCGGACTGTTGACGCTTAGAATCATGTCATCAACTGTCTCCTCTGTCACGTTGGCAGATTCCTGTACGCCGGTATTTTTCTTCGGTGCTCGGCAATCTCTTTTAAAGTGATCATTCTTGTCGCAGTTATAACAGGTAAAATCTTTATTTCTCGTTCTTGATTTTCCCATTCTGGATTTGGATCTGCCACGATTTGAATTTCTTTCTGAAGTTCTCCCTCTAGACTCCGTGTGCAAGACTGAGGAGGTTGATGCTTCACCCGATTCTCTCCGTCGAATTTCTTCGCTCAGTACCAGATCCCAAACATCGTCGAATTTCAATTTACTATTTCCCGACGAGCTGCTAACTGCTGTAACAGTAGCATTCCAACTGTCTGGTAGAGATGATAAGAGAATTAAAGCTCGAACTTCATCATCGAATTCAATTTCCACTGAACTCAACTGGGTTGTGATTGTGTTGAGTTCATTCAGGTGTTGAGCCACTGATGCCCCTTCCGCCATCCGCAAATTGAATAATCGCCTCATCAAGTGCACTTTGTTTGAGGCTGATGGCTTCTCATACATACTGGAGAGAGCAGCCATAAGACCTGCCATAAGACCCGCCATGGTCTTTTCCTTTGCTATGTTGAAAGCAACATTGCGAGATAACGTCAGTCGGATAACTCCGAGGGCTTGTCTGTCGAGAAGAGTCCAATCTTCATTCTTCATGCCCTCTGGTTACTTTCCTGAGAGAGGTTTATAAATATTTTTCTGGTACAGAAAATCTTCAATCTGCATCTTCCAAAAGCCAAAGTCCGCACCATCGAACTTTTTAATTTTCACCTTCCCTTCGTCTACAGCCTTCGCTCCCACTCGAATCTGGCTTCGTTTGGATCGTTTCTGACAATTCTTGCGAACCACCGTGTATTAGAACACCTCTGTCGATAAATTCGTATCGCCGAAATTTTTTACTATTCACAAAATTCACTATTCATGTGAATAGTAACCTCATAAAAAATTGACAAAATTCACAACCAAAAGCTCTGATTTCCAGTTGTTGGGAAATAAACAAGTAACGAGTAATTTCCCTATAACCAGATTAATGAGATTGCGAAATAAAAGCGGAAAAATAATACCTGAAATTGATAACGGAGTTCAGCCAATTTGCTTACGTCTCCGGACTGCTGCAGATCTTTTACTAAGAGAAAATTTACAGGTGTTTACAAAACACACTTGAGAGAGAACTAGAAGATTTTGGGATGATTTTGAAGGTAAATGGGCTAGGGTATTTATAGTTAAAGCTTAAGGACTAATATTATAAATACCCTAAAGTGTGCAATGACTAAAATATAATTAAACCCTTTATCAAAATCAACAAATGTTGCACCGTTTTTTTGACAATTTACACTGAATTCTTCTGCCAGCAAAACCATTCTCCTTTTGTTGAAAAATCAACAGCCACCCTTTTTTACTTTACAGTAGAGCTCACTTGTACAACCACTGACGGCCGAAAATCACCCTAATTGGTGGAGCATCAACACTACGCCACCCCATTGATCTTTCTATGTTTGTCTTTGAAGGTCAACCATCTACAAAGCTCTCGAAGTCCGATGATAAATATGTTAATGTCAAGTTTGCTACACTTGTTCTTTCGATGTATAACTTTAAAGCCAACGGATTTTTCCCTTCAACTTCCTTGACATCAATTACAACAACCAATGCAATAGCAATTATTATATGGGTTAAAGCTCCTGCAGACACTTTTGTTCGTGTAAATCATGTGAATCATTGCTTGTTTCTTGTCATGTCTATAAATCTGTAAAGGAAGGGAGCATAAATGTTTTTTCAATTCAACGAAGAAAAAAAACTAATGCTTGAGATGAGGTAAACACCACTTGTTCATACTTGAAACTGACCATATATTTTCGTTTTTAATTTATGAAAAAAAGTTTGTGTAATAATGGGGGCCATATAAAATTGATGCTTTACAAGCTAGGGTGATTTCCTGTCATGTGTTGTATTTATGAACTCTGCAACACTCTTTGGTTTACAATGGAGAAGAATATTTTTTTAGTTTCGTCTAGACGTAAAGTCAAACGACCAACATGTGTGATCGTCTTGTGTGGTAAAACGGTTGTTTGTGATTTAATTTTCAATAATAAAAAGCCCAATGGATTTTAGTACAATTAAGTCCAAGCTAGCAATGAAAGCTTACCTCTGCATTGAAGAATTTGTGGCTGATATAAAGCTGACATTTTCTAATGCATGCTGTATAATCCCCCATCTAATAATGTTCATAAAAAGGCGGAAGAAATGGATGAATTTTTTGAGGCAAGATGGAAATCATTGGAGGAAAAGTTGAATGCGCATGGTAAAATTTCGAGTGTACAACTGAAAGATGTTGATGAATTAAGGCGGGGTTGTCCTAAAATACAACTATCCAGGAATAGCTCTTTGCCGAAGATGTCCAAAACATCAGAGGAGAAGGCTGAGAAGATGACTTTGAATGTAAAAGCAGCAGAAGTGAGTAACTATATATGGTATTTATAAACAGACATGCTTATGTACTCTTTAATTGGTTTAATTTGACAGAAAAAGGTTGGGTTTGAACAATGCTTGCAAAATAAGTCAGAGTTATGCACCTTAGTCCTGGCTTGAAATTATGCCGTCACTCATTTTATTTTATTTTATTATCATAGAAGTCTGAGTTGCTTTTGATGCTTAGTTTCTTGGCTTGTTAACAGGTTCAGCTTCCTAAATCGGAAGAGAAGAGTGTGAGCAACTTGTCAGGCAAAAACTTACAAAAAAGGTACAAAGTGCCAGAATACAGTCTCTGCTTTGTGGCTCATTATTGGAGCCAATTTACAATGTGTCTTGTAGGCACCAGTACTGCTAACAGTGGTGGGTGTACTAAAGGGTCTATCAGTGGCAAGCCACCATTGAGGTCCCGTGCCTGCAAACGCAATTCACGTGGCAGCATAAAGTGTCAATGTAGCAGTCCATGCTGTTCACACCTTGTGTCTTCAAATTGTTAGTTGATAAATTGTTCTTCCTCTATTTTTTTCATTTTAGGCCGAAATATCCTTTAATTTTCTAAGAATATTATTTTTGGCTTGGTGTAGATGTTACTTCAGAAGGATAGTTGGGTGGAGGTCCTAGAGTGTGTAGCGATCGCGACGATGCCTCTAAACTGGTACACATGATTGTTTTTTTTTATTGTTATGATTAGGTTCATGAAATATGTGATAAATGCTTAATTTAGTTAATATTTTATTTTTAAAATACTCCTTAATTATTGATTTTTGTTATTTATTTGTTCATATAATTCATTTTCTGTGCAAGACGTAAGAGTTTGGAAATTACACTAAAAGGAAGACATTTTGTAATTTTTTTTATTATTAGGTCACGGCTGGAGATATGGGCACGACTTTGGGCATGACACGGTCTGACGTGACAGTTTCTAGAAGATCCAGTCAGCGTTTCTAGAAGCACGAATAGATTGCCCGCACGTTTCTGGAATTCGGATTTGAATTAAACTCAAGTTTTAGGATAATATTTTAAATATTATATTTTATCTTTATTTTAGGTATTTTAGTTTAAATAGGTTTTAGTATTTTAATTAAGTTTTAGGATATTATTTTTATATTTTATTTTTGTTTTAGGTATTTTAGTTTAAATAGATTTTAGTATTTTAATTAAGTTTTAAGATATTATTTTTATATTTTATCTTTGTTTTAGGTATTTTAGTTTAATTAGTTTTAAGTGTTTTAATTAGAATTTAAGACGTTTTAGCTTGTTTTTAAGAATTTGAAGGCTATAAATACCCTCTAAGGGTAAGCCTAGAAACATATATCTCTCATATGATAATAAAATCTTCTTTTTCTCTCTAGCTTTCTCTCTATTTTCGCATACTCCTTTATTTTTCTTTAGAATTTCATTTTCAATTATGCTAAGTATGACATTGGTCATGCTTAGCTAATTTTCTTTCAAGCCGAAGACTAAAGCGAAGCTCAATTTAAACGTGAGAATTGTAAGGTACTTAAATCGCTTCGGATTTTTCTCTTTGTTTTCTGAGCTTACTTTTCAAACCAAAACAATTTCGATATTGGTCTGGATGTTGTTATGGTTAACGTTTGAAGAAGGATTTGCTTATTGAAGCATATTCGACTTCCCGAGAACACACTTAGCAAAATTGTTTGTTAAGAGGAAACTAAGATCGAAATCAATTATTGTTGAAATGATATAATCTGAGTTGGCACAAAGAATTGTCCTTGTAAACCGACGTGAATATTAAAGTAAAAATATGTTTCAATGATCCGAGGAATTTGAGGTGAACATGAAGTCTAAGACTGTTTTCACTATAAGTTTTCTTTATCCCAATTTATTTATTTGTTTATTTAATTTTTATTTCATTATACTTCTTTAAATAATTTAAAATCCCCCTTTTATCTTTATTACTATTTTTAATTCATTATTTATTATTTTATTATTTTTTCTTTTTTTATAATTATTTATTTTATTATATTTTTTCAACTTTATCTGTAATTCTATATTTTCTTAAAATCAAAAAATAATTTTACTAAATCACAAAAATCATAGTCCTTGTGGATCGACCTGTTTTCCTATATTACATTTTCCTTTCTATTTAATTAAGAAGTCGAAATTATTTTAATAACAAAACGGCGGTTTTAAATATGTTACAAAAATTTTATATTAAATCATAGGACTGCCAGGCAAAAAGCACATCGACATCACAAATGAGCAACCAACTCTGATCAGGATTCTGATGGTAAGGAAATATCTTGATTATATATCACGATATTTCTTTTCTTGATCTGAGTATAATAATTCTTTCAAAAAATGTGAAGGTTCTGTAAGTGCTATCGATGAAGAGAATGTTCGTCTTAGTTCTCATCCTACAACTCCTGTAACAGATGCCAGCTCTGGTGAAGGTCAGTTTATCTGCTGATATTAACTTTTTAAGTTCTTACCTGTTTTGCCTTTCATAACTGAGAAACTGTCCTGAAAATGACCCATTTTAACTTTCTGCACTATTACATTCGGGTAATTCAAATATCATAATTTTCTAGAAGGAAAAAGAAAACAAATCATTGTGGTAATCATGGAGTTTCTCAAAAGAAAGGACCGAGTGGAATCCATTGTTCAAATTGAGGGGTGAGAGTGTCGGCTAAGTTATCATTCGTAGACTCAAAGTCATGATATGTAGTACATGTTCCTAGTATGATTGGATAAGACTTGGTGGATGGAAATCTATCTTTATTGCAACCCTAGCTATTTGGTTACGTGACTGAACTGCATAGTCTGTATTGTTCGATGTCTGTCTCTGCTATTTTACAGTTTTAGATTTATAGTCTGTTTCCTGACTCTACTGACTAATACATAATATTAGTAGAAAAGATATTAAAGTTGTGGTTTTTTGGCTTGGAAAACACATCAGATATAGCTTCAATCACTTAAATCAAATACCATCCTAAAAGCCTATATGAATCACATTATATGGATGGTTGTGAATGTACAGCTCATATTTTTTAAGCAACAATACTACACTATCCTAAAACTGACTGGTATGTGGTAGCAATTGAGAAGTAATGAGATTAAGAAAATTACTTTTTAACCTATTTAATCAAGTCAAAAGAACATGATCTATATAAGTATGAAATGACTTTTGGATTCAAGCATGCAATTGACCCTCGAGCAACCATTCTATATAGGTTTGTAGCTGATAATAAAGGGAAAATATAGGCATTTGATTTTTGTTATACTTTTTTCCAATATTCTTATGAAATGGAAAGGATGAAGAACTTCACATTTTGACCATCTGAATCAGCTTGTCTCTTAGTGACATATTATGACAGTTCTTTGACCAAATACATGCATCATGTAAGTTACGCCTTGGCAGACGAGTTTCTTTCATATTTTCTATTGGAATGAATACTACAATTAGTTACTAATTGATAAATAACCATTTTTTTATATAGGATTGTCAACTCCTATTTTTAGCGCACAAATGTCACCGAAAAAGGCTCTCCAACCTGCAATGTTGAAAAGCCGATTTGCAGACACTACTTTGAAAGCTCAACAGAAGACACTACTTGATCATGTAAGTTTACGCAGTTATATCTTTTCTATTTTGAATGTTGTGCTTGGAGTTTTATGTTCATTGGTGTGAATTTCTCGTCTTGATGGTGTTTAATAATAACTTATGCTGCTAATGTTATAGGTTGATAAAGCTGATATGGTAAAGTTGCTGCAGGAAAAGGAAAAAATGGAAAGAATGCAGCGTGAAGGTGATTATTCTTGTTCTTGACTTAATAGTATTTTATTGAATTGTTGATGATTTACTAATTGCTGGGGGTCATTGTTCTTTTATTCTGTACAGAGAAGGCAAAGCTTGAAGCTCAAATCAGAGCTGCAGAAGCTGCTGCCAGAATGAAGGCGGAGGCCGAGTTGAAAAGGGAACGGGAACTAGAAAGAGAAGCTGCTCGACTTGCATTGCAGAAGGTTTACTATTTGTTTTTCGGATTTTTTTGCTTGTATTTCAAGCCTGGGTTTAGAGTAGACCTAATGTGAATGAGCAAAGGCTATTGTAGACCACTATAATCACTAGTGTATTAAGAAACTGAACGGGGTTTGAATTTTACAGATGGGGAAAACAGTTGAGATTGAACAAAACCTGGAGATTATAAAAGAACTGGAGATGCTGATCGGATGTTGTCTATCTAGTTATCAGTTTCATGGTCGAAAATGCGTACCGCGTGATAGAGTGGATTGTAGGAGCGTATGGTGTGGTAACTGGCGAGAACCCTTTGCATAAGCTCGGTTTGTTCTTCAAAGACGAGTTCTTGGAAGACGAGGATGAGGAGGCTGTTCTGGATCGGTAGTATTATTTGCTCGGAATCCTCGGATTTTGATGCTAGCCGCTCGTTAAATTGCTTCGTAGCGTGAGCTCAAAAAATTGTAAGAGAAGAACAAAGAAAATGATAACATTGATTGTAAATGAAGTATTTGTGTAGGAAAGTTGTTATCTTGTAAAACATATTTCTTGTTATATAGAAAGGATGAAATATAGTTTCCAAACCTCATTCGTTTACAAGTAATTTGTTTAAAGTTTCTTAAATAAAATCATTTTATATATGCTATTAAAAAAAATTGATGAAGACAACTGTCAATGTAATACTCACTTTTATGTTAGTGTAGACGATATTTATCTTCCACATCCGTTAGTCTCCAATAATGACAGTAGTTTGTATCTTTTATTTTTTAATTATTTTTTATGTGATGTTATTTTCACTATTTTGAAGTTCATTTGTCCTCTTTGATGTTTTTACGAAAAATGATTGATCAATGGATATCGCATTACTGGTTATTCGAATGATACATTTATCTCGTACATGTAATTATTAGTTGAAAAACTATAAACGAGCATCAACATAATCATCTTCTGTTCTTGTTCTGAATTAATACTGGTGGAGGCAAAGCCCCTCCGAGGAATGAGGAAATCATGGCAAGAGCACGAGCCGGTTGGTAGCTCGGGACTAAACGACCGGCGCCTCTCACCGTTACAAACGTCAGACTGTCATATTCCACCACATATCCTCCCACCTGATTGTTAAGACATTTCAACGCTATTTGACACGATATTTAACACGAAATGTTGGTGTTCCGGTTTCGGTCTTACCTCCTCATCCGTGGACCATGGGCGCCAAGCAGTCTTGATGGGAAGCTTCAGTTTGTTTATGGCATATCTGGTCGATGTAACCGGTACAATCGAATCTAAGTCACCGCTGCAAAATAATCGAATTTTGAATCTATCGAATGTCGCTTTTTAAAGATGATTATATGAACCGATCGAATGGAAAAAAAAAAACAATTGGGGTTTTACCTGTACAGCCAAATTCTGATACCATTTGCCATGAGATTCTTGATGATGGGTAAGATAGTTGTAGCTTTATCAGTCCAGCCACGATACATCTTGAGGCTGAGTGGTACAATATAATATGGTTACGTTTACATTTACTCAAATTAAAATTCAGGACACAGAAGCAAGACCATGGGTACAATTACTTGCATATATCCCAAGCTGAAACCTTTGCATGGAGAGCTGTCTGAACATCTGCTCTATTCAAATAAGATGAAATAAAGTGGTTCGAGCATGGATCGAAACCGTTAATCTGAAATAAGGATCATATGATTATATAATTGGTTCATGTCGTCACTTTTGAGAGATCATATGTTTCACGTCCGGGTTTATACGTATTGTCTTACCGAATCGGACGAAGAAGAATTGAGTTGACAACGTGGGGCATAAATGTTGTACCAATCAATTTTTCCACGCTCAATACGGGATTTGTTGATGAATTTTGCACATTGTTCTGGATCTGTATCATTGAAATAATGACAGTAGGTGTGGATTCCTTTATTGGTTTCGTCTGAATTCAAGGCATGTGTCCATAAATAATCATATCGGCCTAAATAGTCTGTTCGATCATCAATCCAACCATTCCCGACCTGAAAAATATATTCGAATATTCGTCGAATACAAATACTTTTAAAAAATAAAAGAAGTTGAGAGTAATAAATATTGATTCAAACATACCGCGATGCCTTTAAGGTGTTGGATTTGATTTTTTGTTTTCATGAAGAATAATTTTCGCAAGCTGAGGCACGTAGTGGCCAGCGTAACTCTCACCAGCAAAGTACAAATTTCGGGTTTTATACTGAGGGAACCTCTCAAGCCAGTTGATGAGGAATCTGTAGGCATCTTTTGCCGTACTTTTGTCACCCATACTTGATAATCCGAGGTCGTATTTGAATACGAAAAGCCTACTCCGGCCGGGGATTCTATGAAGAGTACGTTCGTCACTGTCGAAACCGAACCGAAATTTAGTTAAATTTATTATCATAGCTACATAAATCTAAAGCAACCGATTAAATGGAAGTTGACCATTGTTCCATGCATAATTGTTGCGGGAAAGTGTCTTGCCGTCGTTGTTTACTCTGAAAGGGCCTAATTCCGCCATCGCGCCGATTAACGACGAACATGCTGGTCCTGAAATTTCCCGAAATCAGATCAATTAAGCCGAATGTAAACCGGACGAATAATTAATGAACCATACCTCCATTGAACCATAAAACCAAAGGATTTGTTGAAGAGTTCTCGGGGGACTCGGCAAAATAGTAGAAAAGAGCTCTATCAGCCTTGGAATCAACAGTGACATATCCCGAATAAAGGTTGAAATCGACACCGTCAGGTTGTCCTGGCAATGCACTGATTTTATCAGCCTCCATGGATCCATCTTGAGGCTGGATGCTATCGGTGTCTACATCGAACGGTGCCGGAAGACGCATCACAGGAGATGGTTTTCTCGACAAGCGAGAGTCGAGAAAGTTATTGAGGACTTGACCCTCATCGGCTTCTCCGTAAACTATGAGACGATGCCCCAAAAGGCACATAGAGAATAGCATCCATGTGCATGCCACCACTTTCATTGTTTGTTTTCCCCTTCTTCTGTTATGGATGAAATGTCAAAGGATTCATGGCTATATATATAGTTTCTCATTTGATCTAATTTTTTAGTAGAACTTTGTACCAAACCGGCTGTTTTGAAGTGTGGTATATGTAACGTATTTAACATTTGCATTGAACCATTAAATTCATCGTTATTAAAAAGGTAGTTAATAAACACACGTTAAGAAAGGAAAAAAAAAGAAATTAAATTCTTTTCTCTCTCAAAAAAATAAAAGAGAAAAATCTTTACGCTAATAAACTCACTTTTGACGCAAAAGAAAGAAGGAAAATATTTAATCAAATACCAATCCTTTATTTAATCTCTGGAAATTTTTTATTCTTGACCCAACTCTCTTCTAAGCAACAGAAGAGATATAGAAAGAGTAATAATCCCAATGAATTTGCCACCAAGCTTTACACAACTCCGCTCTTTGCAATCCTTCTAGCGCTAGCTACATGGGCAAGCCAATAACTCTTCGACTAGCAAGACAAAGGTGAACTCTACCCATTTTCCTTCTTAGACTGTCTACTTCCAGAAGCAATGGCCACAATTCCCTCGGGCGATGGAGTGGCACGACCACCGTATCCGAAATCAGAGTTGATCTCAACCATACTCCCCAACATCCAATCCTTTTGCCTCTAAAAACACCTCCAAGGGGATCTTAATGGTTGATATTATAGCAAAATCATCCCCTAAACTATCCACATGGCCAAAAAATATTGCACACAACACCCCATCAACCAAGCATAGCACTCCACCACACCCAGATAAACCATCTTTCATCACTCCAGCCACCCTGAATTTTGCTAGTCCTTTCACTGGACCTCCCTTATCCACTCCAACGATCTACCCAGGAGAGTCAATGGTAGAAATTTTTTTCGAATAGCTCCACCAACTGTCTATATTTACCAAATCATCCTTCGAAGCCTTCAACCAAGTTAAGGAGAACAATTTTGTGCTGAAAATTAAATCTTCCACTTTACACACTTTCCTTTTAAAGACCGCTCCATTCCTTGCAATCCAAATACACTACAAAGCAATTGAGAAGGAAATAAGCCACACACTTCTAATATTCCCAGACAAACCCGATCCAAAGCAAAATTTAGACAAACCATCTATATCACAAGGACTTGCCCTCGATAAATTCCACCATTGACGAAAGCAACTCCAAAAATTGGCTATGAACATATAGCCAGCAAACAAGTGATCTGCATCTTCTAAGGAGGACTCACACCATCTGCACATATCTTGGCCTACCTCAAAGACAATCCCTCGAGCCATTAGGAAACCCTTTGTCAGAATTCTATTCAACTTAAACATTTACAAAAGCTCCTAACCTTTGGAAGGACCTTTAAGTTCCACAAGCAACCAAAATTGAAAGTCGAATTCTCCACCTCCGCATTCACAATTAATTCAAAAAGTTTCTTTACCAAAAAATCCCCTACCTTATCGTGTATCCATATGATCCGGTATGGAGTATGAAAGATCAAATTAACTCCTTGAATTAATTGGAAAGTCTTTCCAACTGAATAGATTCGCGTTCCAGTTATGGTCTTGAGAAAAATAAGCCCCATTAAACCCCTTGAAAGCCCCCCATTTACTGCCAAAGCAGCCACCACCTCCCCTTTACGTGTTGATAATCTATAAAGACAAGGAAAGTTGTGCCTTAGGGGCTCATTGGAGCACCAAATATCTTCTCAAAACAACACAGTTTTTTCGTCCGCCACCTTCCATCTAAACTCATCAACTCCCATCCATTTACTTATTTCCTCATTACACCATTTATTCACTATGCCACGCCACAAAATGGACATTTTCCTTGCCTTTGAAGTCTTCATAACCCAATTTCTATTCGACTCGCCATACTTATTGATAATAACTCTCGTCCAAAGAGCTCCTTCCTCCACATCAAACCTCTACCACCATTTGGCTAATAAAGCTTTGTTCTTCGCATGAAGGTTAACAACACCCGCTCCTCCTTTAGATTTCGGCAACCAGACCTTCTTCCAGGTGACACGAATTAACTTTCTACTTCCATTAACATTATCCCACAGGAAACCACGCCTTAGGCTTTCAATTTTCTGCAATACAGATTTAGGCACCTCAAATAAAGACATGTAATATAAGGGGAGGGGAGATAAAGTCGAATTAATAAGAGTCACTCTTCTTGCAAAGGACAGAGTCTTGCTCTTCCTGCCCACTAACTTCGCTCGAACACCCTCCACATGTTGTGGAATTCAGGTTAATTTCCACCAATAATAACAAATTCATCTTGAAAACTATTATCTAGGTGCTAATGTGAAAACGATTGTACTAAAAATCACCCAAGGTAGATTCCCAGGAAAGAGGAGGGGTCACAA